GATTTGATCAACAAATCAAGAGTAATTGCACCTGTTCATGTTGAGCTTGATGGCGATGTAGATCATTGGTGTCTTTCGGTAGGTGACAATACACCATTGCAGTGGGCGGTAGATTTCATCAGGAAAGATGCATTGAATGCGACACTTTGACTGGATATCGCAAATCTTCCATATTTAGGATCTCATGTGGCATGGGCTATACTGTCTACCATTGGTGCATTGATTTTGCCAGCTGGTGGTTTAGGGTATAGGGAATGATTTCTTTTCCTTCGAACCCAGTGTTCCGTGGTTAAGGCACTGATAGTTGTTGTAAATAAATGATCTTACCATTAATAAGTTAGGAACTCAGAACTGAAAAATCTGTGTGGGTTATGTATGACAAATGTATTATACACGCGCTACAGTCGCGAATATGACGTTAGAGATAAATGTATAATATGTAGTCTGAGCCGGTGTAATGAATGTTGTAAATGAATGATCTTACGACTGAAAGTTGGCCATTTTCTAGTAGCTTGCAGACATAGAAAAGGAGACAATACTGTACTTCGATCCGATTGGTTCGGGAACTGGATATAAAGAATCCACAGAAACAATGAGGTTACCGTTTTGATCATACTTGAGGAAATATGGAAATGGCTGGCGTAAATTCATATTTGCCATTATATATTTTACAGGCAACTGCTTTCTAATGTTTTCGCAGAAGTCGGAATGGACACTTGGACTGCACACCTCATAAACGTAATATATGCTGHCTTTGTTTAGTACAAACGTTGATTTGTGGATTTGGATAAACYGTCCTTACTGTAAACACAGTACAATATGATTATCTTTACAGGACTATGAAYGATTCCCCTTACAAAAAACAAACTATAAAACCTTGTGAAATTATAGCATATGAGTTTTAAAAGCATTTAAAGCATTTATTTTGAATTTATTTGAAAGAGTTGCATTTGGAAATTCCCCTAATTAGTACAAGCTGGTTCATGTACAAAAAACGGGATAAGTATAGGTTAATAGGGTTCTTTCCTTTAAACATTGCATCAAAAATTGTTAAATTATAAGTGTTGTTTATATGACCTTTTTAAATCTCACGAAATTTGCATATTTTGAATGAGCTACACGCTTTTACAGCGTGAAGTCGGGATAGCTATTTTTGAAAATTGAGAAAGACAGAATATCACTCCTGGATCGATATTTCCAGTGTTTTGATGTCGTTGCGACAAGCCACCAGAAAAGAATATCACGGTGCGTGAATAAACAAACTAGGTAAGGTATTCTTCGCCATAAATTACTTCATATATAATTATATGACTGTCAGAATATTACATGTTTTTTTAGATACGAATTTTATCTTATCGTGTTGAACTCTTTCGCTCTTCACGTATTCGCAAATCCAAGTAATTTCTCAATTTTCCAAAATAGCTAGCCCGACTTCACGCTCCAAGAGCGTCTAGTTACATTCTAACCGATAGCTAATTTCCATAATCTACCTGAAGATGGCAACTCTAAAAAACATTTTTACTAAAAACAATAATAATAATGTGCTCAGTCATATTTCATGAGGTAGCCTCATCACCGAAGCTTTTTTTCATTTTTTTTTAATATTCCATGTATTTGTATTAATATATACATAACAAAACAATACAACCGATCCTCCTCTTATAAAAAAGAAGTGATCTTTTACCCCAAGCGCTCAATAATTTGCAAAAAAAGATTGATAAATGGATTACCACTCCCATTTTATGGATTTCTTTC